TGAAAAAAACTTGTTTATGTTGTGACTTGTCCATAGCCCTAAAGTTAGTGACAGAGATAACTATACTTACATTCAGCACTTTCCATTATATTCCACTGTCAAAAGATAATGACTTTTATAATTTGTCTCTCTCTCCCTCTCCCCCCAACTGTGCTATATTTTATTACTGGTATGCTTGCTTTCCCCTTTTAGCCCYATTTTCCTTTTTGAGTCCCAGTTTAATGAGTTGGTTTTTTTTTTTTCTTCTCTTTTTGTCAGCTACCACAAATCTGAAAAATATATGTAAATCTTCTCCAGAACAATGACTATTTCCCTATTTACTCTGAACTTATTTTCTTACGAAAAAAATAAGAATATCATATTCTTTGAGGTGGAATTTGTTTACCTTGGTGATGTGTTAATTTCTAGACTGATTTACAGATTAGGGAGRATGCCTATACAATGAGAGAGGAATATTCTAATTCCAACCTCTTTCATGCATCATGGAAGACAGCAAATTGAGAGGAAGTTTTCCTGGATTCCACTTATGTTCCATAGTCTGGATGCCACAATATCATTATAGCCAAGTTCTGTTAGTGTCTACTTGACTCCAGATTAAGAATTCAGAAAGCAGTGAAGTAAACAGTGTTTTCATTTTATTTTTATTTTTTTAAATATTTATTTTTTAGGTGTAGACGGACACAATAYAATGCCTTTATTTTTATGTGGTGCTGAGGATTGAACAGAGTCCCACCCATACTAGGGGAGCACTCTACCACTGAGCCACAATCCCAGCCCCAAAAGCTTTTTTTGTGTGTGTGGTGCTGGGGATTGAACCCAGGGTCTTATGCATGCGAGGCAAGCACTCTACCAACTGAGCTATATCCCCAGCCCTGTAAACAGTGTTTTTAGACAGAACAGAATAGTGTAGTAGATAGCATGAAGCAAGGATGTGAACTAGATAGCAGTACTTAAGAAAATGAAATCAATGTTAGAAATGTTACAGAATTATAATTGTCATTACTTGGTGACTAGTTGAATATAGGGCACGTGAGAGAAGGAGCTGTTAGTTTCACATCTTTATAGGAGGAGTGAATCTATGCAAGAAGAGTGATGCATTCCATGAGGGAAATAGTGAAGTGAACTGAAGCAATCGGGAAGATAAGGAATCTGCTATTTAGACATTTTAAGGTGATAACTGGACAATTAGATGGTCAATGGTATGGTAAGATAAGTCATTACATGTAAGTGTTGTTTAAAGTAGTTAGCCGGATGCAGTGTCACACCTGTAATCCCAATGGCTTGGCAGGAGGATTGCAAGTTCAAAGCCAGCCTCAGCAAAAGTGAGGCGCTAAGCAACTCAGTGAGACCCTGTCTCTGAATAAAATACAAAGTAGAGCTGGGGATGTGGCTCAGTTGAAAACTTCCCTCTGAGTTCAATCCCTAGTACCTAAACAAAAATAAAAATAAATAAATCATAATAGTTAWTTTAACACTTTGAGGATCTGCCATGTGCTGCCATATGTACTGCATGTGTATTATTTCCCACAGCCATTCTTAGAGCTAACTAGTTAATTCCAGATAAGAAAGCTAAGCCCGGGACTGGGGTTGTGGCTCAGTGGTAGATGTGAGGCCCTGGGTTTGATCCTCAGCACCAAATAAAGATAAATAAATAAATGTATTTTGTCCATTTACATCTAAAAAATATTTAAAAAGAAAAAAAAAAGCTAAGGCAGAGTGAATTCTCCAAGGGCACATAATTAGTAAAGAAGCACACCAGTATTCAAATTAAACAGTCTTAWCTCCAGAGTCAGTACTTTTAATACTTATACTACCTCTTGAGATCAGAGAAGTAAAAAGGGAAAAACAGAGAGCCTGTAAAAACAGTATTAAATTTTAGAAACACCAGCAAAAGACACAACAACAAGAAAAAAACCCAAATCACTAAAAATGACAGAAGTGTAAGTTAAATGAAAAAAGGAGAAAAATGTTTCTTAAAGTCAACTGCCACCAATGCCTTAGAGAAGTCATTTTCCTAGCATTTGAAAACTGCACATCTTCAAAAGATAACCCTATAACCCAGAAAGTTATGTGATTTTTTTCCAAAGTTAAGAATTATGTTTTGGGGGCTGGGGTTGTGGCTCAGTGGTAGAGCACTCGTCTTTCACGTGCGAGACCCTGAGTTCGATCCTCAGCACCACATAAAAATAAATAAGTGATATAAAAGTATTGTGTTCAACTAAAACTAACAAATATTTAAAAAAAGAATTATGTTTTGTTTTGGGCTAACTCTATTATCTTGACCCTAGTAATTTTATTTTTAATTCACTGTTGTTATTCAAGTAAGTATATGTGTGTAAATATAAATATGTAGACATGTTAGAAAGTAAGTGTGGCTATGTATTTTTTAACTGAGTTGGCATGGAAAGATACTATGATATGTCATTTATTGCAAAAATAAGTTTACCAAACTTTCCATTTAGTAATGGAAATTGCTATCAGTTTCCCTTCACTCTTCTCACCAAGCTTTGTTGTAGGACTACTACAAAACTCAACGTTGTTTAAGGTGTGTAATGTCAGTGAGCTCTTATTTTTCTCTATCATTTGAGAACTAGATACTTACATGCTAAAATCCCTAAAGTAGCATTAATATTATGACAAGAAAACTTGAAAGCTGAAGTTTATTTATTTATTTATTTTTAATATTTTTTAGTTGCTGATAGATCTTTATTTTTTTGGTACTAAGAATCTAACCCAGTGCCTCACACATACCAGGCACGTGCACTACCACTGAGCCTCAGCCCCAGCCCAGAAGTTACATATACACATTATGTTTTATGGTAGTCTACATATCTAAAAGGATTTTTAATCCTTTTAGATATGTAGACCTTGTTATGTATTCCTTTTAGTTATGTAGACCTTGTACTGGGTCTTCAGGGAGAAGTAACTAAGACTAAGGGAAAGGACAGTCCAGATGTGTGAAATAGAGATACAGAAGTATTGAGGGAAAAGTAATTAAAATGCAAAAAATAAGAAATTCTAATATTCTTACTTCCTCACTTTAGATTTAAACCTAGTTTTACATTGTTACAGAAATGTTATATACAAAATATCTTCATTTGCTTCTACTTTTTAAAATAATATAACTTTTTACATGTTGAAAACTTTTTTTGAAGGATTTAAGAAGTGAGTTATAAAGTGAATTCAATTCTAAAATATATTTTAAAAATAACAGGAAACTAGGGTCTGGGGCTGTAGCTCAGTGGTGAAGCGCTTGCCTAGCACATTTGAGGCACTGGGTTCAGATCCTCAGCACCACATAAAAATAAAGAAATAAAACAAAGGTATGCTGTCCATCTATAACTGTAAAAATAAAAGAAATTTTTAAAAATAATAGAAGGCTGGAATGGTAGCTCAGTGATAGAGTAGTTGTACATTCTTGAGGCCCTGAGTTGGTTCCCCAGCACTAAAAAAGCATACTATTAGCACAGTATTCTTTATGTCATTATCTTGGGGAGTTATAGTAACGCAATTTTTTGAAGAAACTATTCTAAATTTGTTTTTTCTTAAAGGTTTTTACTTTTAACAGCAAAACCCTTTCTTTCCAAACAAAAAWTATACACACAATCCCCAAAATTGAGTTGATTTGCCTGTTGTCTTCCCTTGTCCCTCCTGGTATCCCTAAAATACCTCTGAAACCTTAGGGCTCTCCAAACAATTTGATAATCACTGGTCGAAACATTGGTTATTGATATGTTGTAGATTTCATGAGGTTCCCTGGTTGACTTTTTAAATGGCTATCATCTGCCAGTAAATGGCTATCATTTGCCAGATGTCTACTATGTGGTAAGGAGTTTACACACCTATCTCATCCAATCTCAGAACAACCCATGGGATAGATACCATCCTCATTTTAGAGAAGAAATTGGGGCTCATAAAGGTTAAATAACTAGGTCAGTATCACACAGCTAGAAGTGGCAGAGCCAGGATAAGAAACTTAAAGTCTACCCTGACTGTAAAGTCCATGTTTTGTTTAATAAGCCTTATAGAACAAAGTTTGATAGTGAAGGACTCTTAAATACTTTATAGGTAATCTCATCTATTGCTCATAATGGCCCTCTTATTCTCATATTACAGATAAGAAACTGAGGAACAAAGAGATAATTTTGTTGTTATTCACCATATCCTTTCCTAATTACAAATTTTAGACTAGTCTAACATATACACATTTGAGAACCTTAATTTTTTTTTAACCCAGCACATTCCAAAGTTAAGAATCATGTTTTGTTTTGGGCTAACTATATTATCTTTCCTAAACTTAAAATATTCAAATTTTTGAAAACAAACACCCTAACAACCTGGAAGTTTGTTTCAATTCTGTTTCTTGTTTGACATTATTTAAATACTATGTCAGTATCTGAAGATATTTTGTTGCCGTTTTAAAATTGGTAACTTAGATTTTAGATTTTTTTTTTTTTTTTTTTTTTTTTGGTACCAGGGAGTGAACTCAAGGGTACCTGAACACTGAGCCATATCCCCAGCCCTATTTTTTTGTTTTATTTAGAGACAGGGTCTCACTAAGTTGCTTAATGCCTCACTTTTTGCTGAGGCTGGCTCTAAACTCTTGATTCTTCAGTCTCAGCTTCCCGAACTGCTGGGATTACAGGTGTGCACCCAGCACCTGGCTGGTAACTTAGATTTTTATCTCAGAAATGGCTGAGGTTCTTTTTTTTTTTTTTTTTGGTTTTGTTTTAGATTGTACTCAGAGGTGCTTTTAACACTGCAATACATTGCAAGCCTTAATTTTTATTTTTTCAATTTTGAGACAGGGTCTTACCAAGTTACTGAGGCTGGCCATGAATTTATGGTCCCTCCTGCCTCAGGCTCTCAAGTTGGTGGAATTATAGGCATGTACCAACACACCTGGCAGAAGTGGCTGTTCTTCAGTTAAATTTTTGTATACTTTATTTTAATAAATTTAAAAATCTTATTAAATTCTAAAAGTAAGCTTTCCATTACAGGTTATGGCCATTGCACCAACTCATTATATCTGGCAACGAGAACGCTCTGTGCACCACAGTGGAGCTGTAAGAAACTACGACAGAGATGAAGTTCAACTGCCCCGGGGACCTAGTGCCACACCAGTAGATTGTTCACTCTGTGGTAAAAAAGGAAGATATGTTAGAYTGGGATTGTCTTCATCATCATCTTCATCCAGTGACACAGGAGAGCTGATGGAAAAACACTCTCGGGAATCACACAACTCATTATCAAAGGACATAATAGGTGCTCCTTCTCATGCTTATAGCTATTCTCAAGGTATGATTTAGTGATAAGACAGAAATAGATTTATGCATGTTATTTATTGAGTTCTAGTCAGTCCTTACAGGTAGGGATATATGATTATTTATATATTACAAATAATTAAATTAGTTTGAAAGTTTTCCCCTTTTCAGTTACTACTTTTGTCTTGTGTCCTTATGTTTTATGGTAGTCTACATAACTAAAAGGATTTTTAATGACATATGTTAAATTGAGAACTAATGCACTATAAGCATTAAGTATTACAGCCTGAACCATTTCTTTGAAATGTTTATTCAAAAAGGATTTCAAGATAAAAATAAATTTACTTTTAATATTACCATCTAACTATTGGCTTCCTTCTATATACTTTTTCATTTCTAACAAAATTAGAAGTATACCATATCTAAGCCAACTTTTTTTTCATTTATCATAAAGCATCTTCCTATGTCATCATGTAGTCTCTGAAAGTCTTATTTTTAATCCTGACATGGAACAAGTGCCCTAATTTATGTGCATATTTCATTTTTGATGAGATTTAAGTGCTTTGAACAATGGTATCTTATATTAATTAGAAAGTAATTATATTAACTGGGAATATAACCACACTATATTTTTCAAGTTATTTTTATACATATAGTATTTCTCTGGCATTTCTAATTGGAAATAGTACTAGAAAAAATATTCTAAAATATGAATCTTCATTGCTTATAAAAGCTTTCCTCCAGATTTTTTTTCTTCTTTTTTTTTTTTTTTTTTTTGTGTGTGTGTGTGTGTGTGTGTGCGCGCGCGTGTGCAGGGTACTGGTGATTGAACCAAAGGCCCTCTACCACTGAGCACACCCCCAGCCCTTTTTATTTTATTGAGACAGTACTGACAAGTCTCTGAAGCGGGCTTTCAACGTGTGATCCTCCTGATTGAGTCCCCTGAGTTGCTGGGATTACAAGTGTGCATCTGGCTGTTTCTTCCAGATTTTCACCCATCTGAAGATAGGATTGACAGGTTTCTTATAATTCTGTTTAACTCTATCATAAGAAATTAACTGACCTGGATTACTTCAGAATTTTACCTATTTTTATCCCAGCTTTACTAAAGGAGAAACTAGACTCTAGACACTAGAAAGTAGAGGTTGTGTCCCAGAGTTCCCTGGCCATAGTAATCATTCAACAAACTTGACTGACAGTATAACACCTCAAGCATAATTTTTGTTGTTTTACTCATATTTGAAAGTAAATAGGGTCTACCATGGTCTTTCTTTGGTATTCATAATAGGTAAGACGAACTGAATTTTTAAAATGTCCCAGGTGCCGAGAGTAATCATTTTATATTCATAATATCATTTAATATTCACAGACAACCATATGGTAAATACTGTTCTCTCTACTTGGCAGATAAGGAAATTGAGGCTTAGAGAAGATAAATAATTTGCCCAAGTTAGTGAACTCCAGTTTCTGGCTCAAGACTAGAGCCAGAATTCCTAACTATTATGCTGTGCTGCCCCTTTAATAAAATTCTGCCTTCAGCATAAAAATAAACTGTAAATAAGCCTTTAGCAGACTGCTAAGGAAGTGGAGAAAGCATTGAGAATTGAGTCCTTCATGAATGATTGAATGGAATGACTTCACTCAACAATTTTGAACAGGTTTTACAGAAAGAGGAACAGAAACAGTATATTTTATTCAGACTAGTCCCTGTAGATATCAACAGTAGTATATACTACATTCCAAAACTTGTCATCTCAACAGGAAATTGGAGTGCACACAGGGAGTTAAGGGGCTCTGCCAGTCAGTATGCTTTGATAAAAACAGGTGTTTGAGGGACTGTGGACAAAAGAGGGGTATTAGGGAAGTTGTAGAAGGAAATGTGTTTTCATCTTGTTCTACCACTGGTTTATTCTGAGTGTTTATTCAAGGTTAATTGGAACCTTGACAAAGAAAAATTATTGATCTCACATACATTTGACCAGTCAAAATCTACATTTTCCTCCAATAACTTAACAAGAGTGAGCTAACTGGGGAGAAAGTTAAGAGTTTAGGGAAAGAAACACATGCCTAAGTAGATGCTGATTTCCAACAGTGTAAAAATTTTTTCCTACAGTCTATATAATGTTGGAATCAATCATGTTGGTTATAGTTGCAGAAAACTCAATCCAGCCATTCACCCAGAGGGATACAAAGAGCTGATGCTCTGTTCCAGGTTTGTATGCTAAACCTTAGCATAGGTAGTTATCAATGCTTCCGAGTTTCCTTCAAACAAAAGAAAGCAACGCCTCAATTTTCGGGTGAAAACATGTTTTTCTATCTTTAATTTTTTTTCCTTAAAAATGTTCCAAAAGAGCCAGGCATGATGGCTCATGCTCGTAATCTCAGTGACTCAGGAGGCTGAGGCAGGAGGATCACAAGTTTGAGGCCAGACTCAAATCATCTGAAACCATCTCAGAAACTAAATAGGACTGGGGATATAGCCCAGAGGTAAAGCATTCCTAGGTTCAATCTCCAGAATCCCACTCCCCCAGAAAAATTCAAAAAAACAAATTTGAATTGCCTGTGATACTTAGAAATGTTTTTCACTTGAAAGGTAAAATGAAACTGTCAAAAYATTTCACTTTTGGGAAGGAAGATAGATGAGATCTTCTTTATGATTTACATACAACACAATCACCAATCTCATTTAAAACCAATCCCCCAAGAAATCCTGAAATGGTATTACATTATTCTTTTTACTGATGAAAAAATAAGCACCAAAAAAGTCACACCATTACCAGGTAAAACAATACCAACAGAAACCAAGATTAGAACCCAGTTGTATCTAAATACACACTTTTTTTTTTTTTTTTTTTTTTTGCTATGGGAGATTGAACCCAGAGCCTTACACAGGCTAATGCTCTACCATGGAGCTACATCCTCAGTCCCCACAGCACTTTTTTATACTAACCAAACTATTATTGTTTCTCTTTATGCTATGGTAAGCTACATGACACCTAAGCTGGTCCAAGTGAAACATGGGATGCATTATTATGTATTATCTGAGGACCCCTCAGATTTTAGAATGAAGCCCAGGGATAAAATTATACCAAGCCTTAGTACTGGTGCAAAGCAGGCAGAGAACAGTCCAACTGATAATTATACTCAAATAATTTTTCTCAAAAATACATACTATTTTGTGCTTTCCTATTTATTTTGTCATTACCCTTGTTATAGTCATACAGGTTGAAAATCCTTACACTTAATGAAGACATAATCAGCGTATATAAATTAATGATGTAGCTGGACATGGTGGTACACACCTCTAAATCCCAGCTATTTAGGAGGCAGAAGCAGAAGATTACAAGTTGTGAGGCCAGCCTGGGCAACTTAGTGAGACCGTATCTCAAACTAAAAAAATAAAGGGGCTGGGGACATAGCTCACAGGCAGAATGTTTCTGGGCTTAATTCCTAGTATCACTAAAAATAAAACAAAACTTTATGTATTACTATGAAATCATTGACTTAACAGGCTTTTTTCTCCCTTTAAATACTCAGACACCAAAGACAGTTTAACATTTTTGTGTGTGTGTGTCTTGCCCTGGGGACCAAACCTAAGGCCTTGAGCATGGTAGTCAAGCACTCTACCAATGGAGCTACATCCCTATCTCTTTATAAAAATCTTCTTTTGAGGCAGGCACAGCAGTGCACACCTGTAATCCCAGCTACTCTCAAGGTTGAGGCAGAAGGATCACAAATTCAAAGCCAGCACCAGCCACTTGTAGAAACCCAAAAAAATTAAAAATAAAAAAAAGGTAGGGCTGGGGTTGTAGCTCAGTGGTAGAGCATTTGCCTAGCACACGAGACACTGGGTTTGATCCTCAGCACCACATAAAAATAAATACAGCTTAAAAAAAAGGACTAAGGAAGAAACTTAGTGGTAAAGTGCCCCCTGGTTTAAATCCCTAGTACAATATATACATATATACTTTTGAGAGTGTCTTAGTAAATTGTGTGCAGGCTGGTCCCAAACTTTCTACACCCGCCTCCCGCACCCAGTAGCTGAGATTACTGGTGCAGGACACTGACCTGACTTAACTTTCTTCTAGTATCTCCTTTTATATAACCATGAAACATTCAGAAATTCCTGCTATCTCTGAAATATAAGGTTCAAAATCAAAGCCTTCTACAATTCAAGAATTATATACCTAAATCTTCCCCTTAGAACAACCAAGACAACAGATGAAACTATATGATCCAGTAGGCTTAAAGCCATCAAACTTATTTACCAACTTCTGTCTGGGAAAGGTGGAGCAAGACCTGAAAAGCAATGGGAGGACAGTTTTAAGTCATCCCAGATCTCTAAGAGTTTACAGTATGATATCTGAGAGTCAGGCTTRGACATAGAAAATTAACATTACAAAACATCTGTATTATAAACCAGTTTGTCAACATTCTCAGTGGACTGAAGAAAAGGCTTAAACTGGGACTTGATTAATTTTATAAATGAATTCTTACTTGCTTGGTCTTCGACTCATATTTAGAATGGAAACCACATAAGAGAGGTCTTGTTCAATTCCATATCTACTGAACACATTGTACTGAAGAGAAGTTAGTGTCCTACATAAAACAGAATTAAAGGACAGCACATTCCTTTGCTCTTAATCCTGCCCCTCTACAAGTAGACAATTAGAACCTGACACATAATGGGCATTTGAAACTATAGTTATGCAGAAATATAACATCAAAAGAATACTCTCCTCTAGGTGCAATCAGTTCTCAGATGTAACTAGAGTGATTTTTTTTTTCCAAAACACAACTCTAAGCCTATTATACTTTACTTAATTCAATCTTTCAATGGTACTCCATTTTTTCTTAGGATAGACAAATTCTTCAAAATGCCAGAAGATCCTACATGATCTGATCCCTATGTACCTTTTAGTCTTTTTCACTCACCTCTAGCATCACTGGCCCTTTTCTCATTTTCCCTGCCTAGTCAATAATTATTTACCATTCAGGTCTCAGTTCAAGTGCTGCCCCTATTATGTCTATTCATAGTACCCTCCATTTCTATGGAACATTTATTATAGTTTTATTTTTATATTTGTGTAGTTGTTTATTATCTGGCTCTATTATGGACCATAAACTCTGTAAAGCAGGTTTTTAGGTTAAAATTCTCCACATTCTATAAACTGTTATAAAAATTTTTTTACATACACACACACACATATACACTAATATATATAATCACATATAATCTTTTTAAAAAAATAGTTATAACCTATGGGACAAATCCAGGAATAATAGCATTTATCTGCCCAGGCAATCCTATTTCAAGACAACAACTCAGTCTCTTAATCTTATCCATAAAATATGGATAACTTTAAAGATGAGTTGCAAGTTTGAAATTAATATATGTAGTTCTTTAAACAATGTATGGTAGATAGTAAACACAAAATAACTGATACTTATGAATAATAAGCCCCATTCATTCCTAATCAATTCATATTTCTAAAGTGTATTTCTCCAAACGTTACATACAGTGATTTTCGATGTTCTTTCAAGCCAATTCAAAAGATACTGAGAGGGATAAAAAAGATTTAAGAGGGGATGGGATTGTGGCTCAGTGGTAGAGTGCTCACCTAGCATGCATGAAGCACTGGGTTTGATCCTCAGCACCACATGGAAATAAAATAAAGACATTGTGTCCACCTAAAATTAAAAAATAAAAAAAAAAAGATTTAAGAATTGTTATATCTTAGGGATATAGTTCAGTGGTAGAGCACTTGCTTAGCATATGCAAGACTTTGGGACGACTGGCCAACACCCATAACCAAAAAAAAAAAAAATCACGTCTTTATTAGAATTTTTAAGGTGATTATATCATTCTTATCAGTTTATCCCCTACTATAGGGGGAAGTGTTACTGATAATTGAACCCAGGGGTGCTTTAGTACACATCCCAAGTCTTTTTATTTTTTATTTTGACAGGGTCTTGCTAAGTTGCTGAGGCTGCCTTCAAATATGCAATCCTTCTGCCTTAGCCTCCTGAGTCACTGGGACTATAGGCATGTACCATGATGCCTCGAATGCCCCCTACTATTTACTATAGCCAGGATTTCTCATTGTTTCTAAGATAACAAGCAATTAAATTACATATTTAAAATATATGGATACATCAAATTTATCTTAAAATGCATTTTATTTCAGTAGCCAAAGACCATCAATCAAAGAAAGGAAAGAACACTAATTTCATGAAGACAGACAAATCCATGGAGTGGTTTACAGGAAGTGAAGAATGAGATGGCTCATCTAAAGCAACTTGGAATCATTAGCTACAAAAACTAAATGCAAGACATATGTCAAAATGGGACATTTAAGCAGTTTTGCAAAGTTTCACATTTTTTTTAGCTTTTGTTATTTTTCAAAGTTATATGTAAAAGTTATACAAATCATAGTAACAGCTAAAAATACTAATCTATGAAAGTAGTGATTTATAGCTTAAAGTTCTAGTTTGATATTTTTCCATCTTCAAATAGGTTGCCATCATTTGGGATACTCAGTTAAGTTGTGGTTTGAACTTCCTCAACTTGACAAGAAAAGCTAATTTAAGAGAAGAAAAAAATATAAGGTCATCATATTACATTAATTAAAATAAGAAATAATTTAATATGGCCTGAAAACATTACTCACCTGTATGACCAGCTTGCCAATGTATAGGTCTGGCAATATAGGGAAATGATCCATATGGAAAATCAGAATGTGATCCTTCTGTTATAGAACAAAATATGTACTATAAGCTACATAAATATTTTATAATTTGTTTATATTAACTGTTAAAATATTAATTACTATCCCTTTACTGAAGTTTTTTCCTCAGACTTTTTTTTTTAAAGCCATTTGTTTTGGAACTACTCTGCCAGAAACTATACAGAAACAATTCGTCAATGATTATATAATAACTTTATCATATGGTTTTATAACCAAAAGGATAAGCCCATATCATAAATCAATGGATATCTGAAAACTTTTTCATGGTCTAAATAATGTGTATAATACAACAAGAAGCTAAATTTAATTCTCTGAAGAATTCCAGCAGCATCTTAGGGGAGATGCTTTTTGCAACAATAGCTATCTGCATATCAGGTCATATTAAATTCATCAGTAATAATAATCACTGATCTATGTTTTAAACATCCTTTAGTATATTTAAATTATTCCACAAACCAAGCTCATGTGACAAACAATAAATATGAATCATATGCAATGTCCAATACCAGAATTTTAAAAGTACAAAAAGTCATTATTTCTCCTATTCATTCTAGGAATATTTTTTATTATATAATGGTCAATACACTTAAGAATCCATTCTCCATTTATCACAAACAGATGCACAAAGTAAAATTGAAGCTCACCATGGTCATTCTCTTGAAAAATCTCACTTTCAACTCCAGTTTCCTTTTGGGTATGTAATTGTAAATCTTTGTTGATTTTAGGTTCTACTTTTTGAACTAAAATTCCATTTTTCTGTTTTGCAAGACAAACCAACCAATCTCTGACAATGACTTCGCTTATCTTTTCACATGACAGAGCAAGTTCACAGATGCGAATTCCATCTAAAAGTTCAATAACCTGTGTGATGCTTTTAGAAAAGTGAAAAATATACCTTTACATTTCTACCAAAATAATAACTCTACATTTATTTTAAGTTCACTGTACATCTTACCCAAATTTAAGTGATATTACCCAAATTTAAATGCTATATGTAATTAAATTAAGGTGGAGGGGATTAAAAATGAAAGTTGACACATACGTAATGTCACATACTAAATAAAAAATAGACATTAATTTAACATTAGTGTTCACATTATGATTTGAAAACTTCTTCCCAATTGTTGGAAGAAACATATATCTTATTATTTATGTAAAAGGATGATTTAAATAGCAATATAACTGAATTTGGACCATATGTCATGTTTTGCCTTAGTTATAATATGAATGTATATACCCAGTTACAATATGAACATTTTAATCCAGTATTTAGGAAAAATAAAAAGTGTATTTAAAAATCACATTAGAAAGAAAATTGTCCCTATTACTCACTTTGTTAGATATACAGCACATACACCACCCTGCTTAAGATTTGGATATAAAACAGGCAAAGCAACTTGAGGGTTTAACATATCCAAAGCTACCTGTGGGGAAGGGGGAAAAATGAAATGCATCAGTCTGATTGTTTAAATAAAGCATGGGTTTTCTATTCCTAATTGTGGTGAAATGACACTTTTAGAAAGCTATTACCCAGTTATTTCTTCGAATATGGTACTATTAGAATATTAACTGTCATTTTACTGCTCCCCAAATGGTTGTTTATCACTATACAATTTTTCATAGCATTTGACTATATATAAAAATCAGAATGGTATACCTTGTACTTGGCAATATTAATAAGAGAAATCTTTCTTTGGCTATTTATGTATACGTGAATATGGTCAAGAATTCCTGTATTAATATTGCCATATGTAAGACATAATGTTATAACATAAAAAGTTAAAATATATTTGAGGCCTTGTAATTTAAAAAATATATCTTTATTTTGTTGTTTATTTTTATGTGGTACCTCACATGTATGAGAAAAGCGCTCTGCCACTGAGCCACAACTCCAGCCCTCTCTTGCTAAAATATAAATTTAAATGCTTTAGTTCAGTTTTGGTAGTAAAAATTCACATTATTTTAAAATGTTTTAAATTTTTATGTTTAAAGGAGAAGCTCTGAATATTAATTTTGGAGGGCAAGAAACGTGCCCATTATTGCTTTTTTCTTTATTCAATTGTAGATTACAGGGCTGTAACAGATGACAAGTACAATGAGTAAATGAATGGTTGAAAGTTTCAAGTGAAAAATTAATTAAAAACAGGGACTGAGGCTGGGCCTCAGAGGCAGAGTGCTTGTTTAACACAGGTGAGTCACTAGGTTAGATCCTCAATACCACATAAAAAATGAATTAAGTGGGCTGGGATTGTGGCTCAGCAGTGGAGCGCTCAGCTAGCATAGGCGGAACCCGGGTTGGATCCTCAGCACCACATAAAAATAAAGGCATTGTGTTGTCCATCTACATCTAAAAAATAAATATTAAAAATAAATAAGTAGATAAAGTTATAAAATATATATACTTTAAAAATTAATAAAAAACAAAAATCCAGTCAAAGTAACATTTATTGTTGGAAAACTCCAGAAAGCTTAGAGTTATTGGCACATCTATTTATTAAATGATATATTATTGTTTATGTGTTTAAGTAGCTCAGAGTGCTTGATTAGTATGTATGAGGCCCTGGGTTCAATCCCCAGTACTCCAAAAATTCAAACAAACATTGGGGTGCAGTGGTAAATGCCTGTAATCTCAGTGGCTCAGGAAGCAGAGATAGGAGAATGGGGAGGTTCAAAGCCAGCCTTGAAATGGCGAAGTGCTAAGCAAATCAGTGAGACCCTTGTCTCTAAATAAAACATATAAAATAGGGCTGGGGATGTGGCTCAATGGTTGAGTACCCCTGAGTTCAATCCCTGGTACCCCCCCCCAAATCAAAACACCACCAGTACATTAGACCAATGGACATCATTCACTGTTTACCAAATTTTTTTAAAAAATATTTTTTAGTTGTAGTTGGACACAATACCTTTATTTTATTTATTTATTTTTATGTGGGGCTGAGGATTGAACCCAGGGCCTCACACGTGCTAGGCAAGCACTCTACTGCTGAGCCACAACCTCAGCCTAGTTACCAAATATTTACTAAGCACGTTTTTATACATGTCAAGCATTTTCTTTATGGAAATCTAACATTGTTACGAGGATGTTGATTGACATGAACTATAACCATACAGCAGAATAAGAGGACCAAGACTGACAGGCATTGAAAGGTGCCATTTTATATATGAGCTGATCAAAGAAGAAATCTGAAGAAAATGATTTACAATGGAAAGTTAGGGGGGAAGTGTGCTGCAGGCAGGAAAATAGCAAATACAAATGTTCTGAGGCAGTGGGCTACTTGGGGAGTCTGAAGGTGCCACTGTTGCTGACAGTGGAGATGAAAAGGGGAAAATGGTAGGGATATGTGGAAGTAGAGAGGAGACAGCTTACATAGAATTTTGCTGGCTTTAGCTTTACTTAGGGAACAGTCTCTGGAAAGTTTTAAAGAATGCCATATGATTTTWAAAAAACTTTTGTGAACAATAAAGCATAGTTTAAGCATATAACTCGGTGTATTGACCTCCAGGGGGACTGAATTCAGGGGCGCTAACCATTGAGCCACATCCCCACCCCTTTTTCCTATTTTATTTAGAGACAGGGTCTCACTGAGTTACTCAAGGGCCTCGCTAAATTGCTGAGGCTGGCTTTGAACTTGCGATCCTCCTGCCTCAGCCTCCTGAGCCACTGGGATTACAGGTGTGCGCCACCATGCCTGGCTGAACTTTGCTTCATTTTTCACTGAAATAAGCTAGCCTTATAGCAACAAGTTAAGGAAAGCAAGGAAGATCCCTTATTCCAGGCCTAAGACCATAGTGCCAGGCTATGAATGTTGAGTAGCACCACCAAGGACAAGGCAACTCCAACACTATGTAATTCTGAAACTTTTAAGTCACTTAATACCTACACATTCCACATCTCTACCATCTTTGGTTATTGCTTAAAATACCATCCTTTCTTTTCATCTGTCCWTTTATCTACTATACTTCTCCCTAAGTTAACCTCTCACTGCTATAAATCCCCCTAATCTCCACATCTTTAACGAACACTCCYGTACATCCTGACTTCTAAAGATGCTGCTTACCTATTCCCTCTCAAATGGAGGCTATTTATCTCCCTACTTCTCACAACTGAGGTTAGGCACTGGTCTCAAAATGCTCCCAATGCTGCTTCCTAATTATTATTCCTTTATCATGGAAACGCTGAGATTTATGATGATCAACTTTTGCTTCTAACTTCTGGTCATTATCCAACATTCATGGACAACTGTGGCACCTGAGTCAGTTTCTCTGCTCCAAATCCCACCATGATATTAAAAGRTATTAAAGAAAAATACTCATCTCTAGTTATAGAAATAGGGCAAATATAACAAAGACTGTTGCCCAAACACAAGAAATCCAATTGTTTTCTTTGTACTCAAATAGGACCTACTTTAAAAAAAACTTACTGCATCAAATGTTAAAGATTTGATATCTTCAGTTGCTCCAGAAATATCCTTATGAATAAAATTCACATTGTCTGGCCATTCTTCAATGTGACTTAATTTCCATGAATCACGCCAGTGCTTGTAATTCTTCTTGGCTAGATAATGGTGGTCTTTCCGTATTTCAAAACTTATGACTTGTCCTTGTAATCCAACTTAAGTTAAAAAAACAACTTATATTTCATAGTATAAAGTGTCAATCTATTTTCCAAAGGAATTATTAAACATGTGAAAAAAATCTAAACAGTTCAAGGTTACAAAAGTACTTCTCCCATTCCTGATCCACCATCTTCCTCTTCTTAGGTAGCCATATTACCCATTACTTACACTTCCCACACTAGTGGGTGCCTATACCAACATGCAAGTAACTCTGCTTTTCATATATATCATGACAAAAATACACTGTCTTGTACCTTACTCTTACTTACCAATGTTATTTCAGCAGTTATGGGTATACTTTTAATAGCTAATACATTACAGTGTATGTCTATACCATAACTTATTTAATAGTCATCTTCGATGAACATTTAGCTTGTTTCTCATCTTGTGCTAATACAAATTATACTGCAATGAACATTCTTCTGCCTAAGTCTTCATAATATATGTCAGTTTATCTTTATAGGACAACGTACTAAACATAGAATTAGTAGTCCAAAGGGCATGTCAATTTTTTATTTTGAAAAACAATTGTCCTCCAAAAAAGTGGTGTTGATTTATACTTCCAACAATGTATTAATAGTGTCTACTTCTCCATACACCCTCTTCAACAGTTATCAAACTTTTTATCTGTGTCAATATAAAAATTTAATAGTTTATCACTGTAGTTTTACCTTTCTTTATTATTGATGAGGGTTGAGCCTTTCATATATTTAAAATGGATTTGAATTTGGTATGTGTCCGATGAATCTTCAAATTGTTTAACATAAGTAAACACTACAGTTATAGAGAATACTATATCTTAAGGCAATTAGGAGGGAAGACAAGAGGAGGCATCTGTGATACACAAACATATCCTTCATCAACCTAGGTACTAAATACATGAGTGTGGTCACTGTATACAAGTTCATGGGGGGTTGAGGATTTAACTCAGTGGCAGAGCACTTACCTAGCATGCACAAGGCCCTGGGTTTGATCCTGAGTAGTGGGGGAAAAGTTCATGTGGTATAAACTTATAATCTGTGTACTTTTTGCTTCATTAAAAAATTTACTTTATGGGGCTGGGACTGTAACTCAGTGGTAGAGGGCCTGCCTTGCACGTGTGAGGCACTGGTTTCAATTCTCAGCACCAAATAAAAATAAATATATTGTATCCATCTACAACTAAAAAATTTTTTTTAAATTTACTGTAAAAAATTGTAGAAGCAGCTGGGAATGATGGCACACACCTATAATCCCAGCAGCTCTTGTGATCCTCTTGCCTCAGCTGATCACAAGTTAGAGGCCAGCCTCAGTAACTCAGTGATGCCCTAAAAAATAAAAAGGGGATGTGGCTCACTAGCTAAGCACCCCTATGTCTAAATGAAAGAAAAGAAGGAAGGAAAAAAGGACAGAAAAAAAGAAGGCAGGCAGGGAAGGAAGAAAGGAAGAAGCAAGTGAGGTACAGTGGCACATGCCTCTAATCCCAACGACTCAGGAGAATCACAAGTTTGAGGCACCAGCCTGGGCAATTTAGAGAGCTCTAATCTCAAAGTAAATAAAAAAGGACAGAAATGTAGTTCAGTGGTAAAACGCCTGTGCATTCTACCCCCAATACCTGGATGCGGGGGGCAGCATTAGATTGGAGGGATTAAAAGAAAAGAAATGGATGGAGGGTTAAAAAGAGTGACTGGAATAAATGAACAAAACATGAAGAAAGGGCTGGGGATGTGGCTCAAGTGGTAGTGCGCTCGCCTGGTGTGCGTGCGGCCCGGGTTCGATCCTCAGCACCACATACAAACAAAGATGTTGTGTCCACAGAAAACTAAAAAAATATTAAAAAAAAAAAAAAAAACACGAAGAAAGACAGTGGCCTCCATTTGGTTTTCAGGAGAATGCTATTACAAATTTATGTATTCCCCCAAATATCTTTTTGGCTTTCTTTGCAGTACTGGGGATGGCACCCAGAGTTGAACATGCTATGCAAGCACTCTACCAGGGTCTCCCTAAGTTGCCCAGACTGGTCTTGAACCTGCATCCTCATGCCTCAACTTCCTGAGAAGCTGGAATTAAGGTACGTGCTACCCTACTCACCTGTATTTTCCCAAATACCTTTATCTCTATATTATCATGAACAAACTGAATGCTTTGTTATCTAGGTCTAGCTCATTTATCCCAATCTCTTACCTGCTTTTGATAAAAATAAACTCATTCCACCAGAACCGGAACCAGCTTCCAAAACAGTATCACCTGGGCTGATGTCCATCATCGATAGTATCATATTCATATCCTATGATTGAAATATGGAATGTGATGAATAAAAAATAATAAGCACTCATTCTTATGCTATGTTGGAGAAGGAAGCAAAATTTYTTAAAAAGGATTGACTTCTAGTCCTACTTACAAAGAATCTATATTTTGCTTAACATTATAAGGAATTTCAAGCCAGGCATGGGAGTGCATACCTATGATCCCAGTGACCAAGATAGGAGAACTGAAAATTCAAGACCAGCCTGGGCAACTTTGCAAGACCCTCAGAAATAGCAAGACTTTGCCTCAAAAAAAAAGTACTATTTTTATTTTTAATATATTTTTTAGTTGTAGTTGGACACAATATCTTCATTTTTTAATTTTTATATGATACTAAGGATTGAACACAGCGCCTCACACGTTCAAGGCCGGCACTCTACCACTGAGTACAGCCCCAGCCCAAGTACTGGGTTTGCAGCTCAGTGGTAAAGTGTCCCTGGGTTCAATCTTTAGTTACACCACACACGCACCCCCAAATAAAAAGAAAGAAAAAAAATTCAAGAATCAATTAGCAAATAAGCAATTCAGAATAATACTCAAAGTATAGACACTAAATAATACTAAAATAATAATACTAAAAATATAGACATAATAATACTAAAAGTATATAGCACGATATAAATGTAGAGGAGAAAGCAGAGGAAACTTTGCTTAATGACAAAGAGTAGAGAATAGAAACAGCTTTGAACAAAGCATACGTGGAACAGTCTGCTCATCTCAGGAGGAGATGGAAACATGTTTTCATGTTGTTTAATCAGACTATGAGGAAAGTATCATCATTCTCATTATAAAGATGAGAAATCACACGTTAAATATTTTGCCCAAGGCCACGACACCAGGAATTAAATGGGAAAGTCATGAATAAAATCAATATTGAACTCTAAAGACCCTGTTATTGACTATTACACTCTAACAATTGTTACAATGAGAGAATCTTAAAAGTAAGCATTTATTACAGTATGTCCCTCAATGCCAAATCTTTAAGTTGATAATAAATAGCATATCTAATAATTTTTTACTATTTTTTCTGGGAAGAGCTACTTGTGAAAATTCTAAAAGGGGTTTCTAGTATCCTTCTATCCAGTCACAAAATTATAAATTAAATATGGTTTTGACTGGAAAATGTAAATATTTTTTTAATAATTTTTTTTAATATTTATTTTTTAGTTTTCGGCGGACACAACATCTTTGTTTGTATGTGGTGCTGAGGATCGAACCCGGGCCGCATRCATGCCAGGCGAGCATGCTACTGCTTGAGCCACATCCCCAGCCCCCAAAATGTAAACATTTTACAAAGTATAGTTGACTAATTAAAAGCTAAAATGTATTTGGATTAAGGCTTGTGGACCAAATGAAACAGACATGATTTTTAAAATGTGTTAGTCAAAAAGTGTCATTCAAGGTTTAGTCTTTAAGAAATACATATCCAGGCATCTTGGAATAGAGATGGGAAGAGGTAAAGACAACTTTATATAAATATGAATATAACAGCTAATATAGTGGGAGGTAGCTTGAGTAGTCATTTCAGTAAAAAGTCCTAGAGAAGGTACTTCTATTTTCTTGGTCCTTTCATACAGAAATGTGGTACATTATAAAATAATTTGAGCATATTTTAGCGTTTGCTACTTGTCACTGAGGTTATTTGGTCTCAATAGGATGAGCTTTCTAGGCTACACATACAACAGTCATTTCAATTCAAAATTAGGTGGAGCATTGACATTCATTCATTTTCCTGCTTCTTTCAAAATGGGCTTGAGGCTCCTGGGAGAGTCCTCCACAGTTATGAAATATCACTTGACTACTAAGTTTTCTTAGGATTTAAAACTTTGGGCTTTCAAACAACCCTTTGAGACATGTTTTTTTTTTTTTTTTTCCTCAACAGATATTCTAACCTTTCTTGATTAGTTTAATAATATAAATCTAAGTCTCGGCCTAAGGATTTAGGCCTAAGGATTTATAACTGACAAAATGGCAACAATCTCTATTAACCATTTGTTTTTAAGAATTACAATCAAGCTGAGCATAGTGGCGCATGCCTGCAGGCTTGGAAGGCTGAGGCAGGAGGATTGGGAGTTCAAAACAGCCTCAGCAACTTAGTGATGCCCTAAGCAACTCAGCGAGATCCTGTCTCAAATGAAAAATTAAAAACGACTGGAGATGTGGCTCAGTGGTTAAGTGCCCCTGGGTTCAATCCCTGGTATAAAAAAAAAATAAAAAAAAATCCGAGGATTGTTGCCCTTTATGCTTCTATTCCAAAGCTAAAAGTGCTTGATATTGACCAAATGTGGACATGTAGTGCTAGGTGCGGTGGCACTGGCCTTTAATCCCAGTGGCTTGGGAGACAACAGGAGGATGGCAAGTTCAAAGCCAATCTCATCAATTTGGTGAGGCCCTAAGCAACTTAGCAAGACCTGGGCTCAAAATAAAACATAAAAAAGAGGCTGAGGATGTAGCTTGGTGGTTAAGCACCCCTGGGTTCAATCCCTAGTACAAAAAAAAAAAAAAAAAAGCATTTCAAGTTGTAAAGGTCAAAGTTCAAGGTTGAACTTCCTAATTTCCCACAGTCACTACTTAGGAAATAAAGAGAGGGGTCAGTACCTGGCAAGTACAGTATTTAAATTCCTTCTTAGAGCAGAACATTGACTTTTATCTGTGACAAATGTTAAAAGTGGGAATTGAAGAAAAGATCTAATTTTATGACTGTCTCAAAAAATACAAAATTAAAAGGATTTGGGGGATGTGTCCCTGAGTTCAATCCTTCAATCCCCAGTACCAAAAAAAAAAAAAAAAAAGATTAGTGATGTGAAAGAGAGAATGCAAGTTTCTATCAAGATCACCCAACCCCACTAGCCTAAAACCCTGGGGAAAATGGAGTCCTTGGGTAGAACTTTTAAAATATAGATTGGATTCCATTTAAAACCTCCCAATGCCCCCCCCCATAAATGAAATAAAATACTCTTTGTCTACAACTTGACCCACCCAGACCACAATAGGAACTCTGTTGAGTAGCCTGTTCCACGTATGCTTTTCAAAGCTGTTTCTATTCTCTACTCTTTGTCATTAAGCAAAGTTTCCTCTGCTTTCTATACTTTGAGTATTATTCTGAATTGCTTATTTGCTAATTGATTCTTGAATTTCTTTTTTCTTTCTTTTTATTTGCTCCCTTCAAAAGAACACTCTGGAGGCTGGGGTTGTGGCTCAGCAGTAGAGCACTCAACTAGCACATGTAAGACTCTGGGTTCTGTCCTCAGCACCACACAAAAATAAATAAATAAAATAAAGGTATTGTACCCCACTACAATATATATATATATATATGTATTTTTTTTTTTTTTTTAAAGAACATTCTGGGGTCAGGGTTGTAGCTCAGTGGTAAAGTGCTCGCCTAGCACATGCAAGGCCCTGGGTTCGATCCTCAGCACCACATAAAAGTAAATAAAGTGTTAAGTCCAACTACAACTAAAAAAATAAATATTAAAAAAAAAAAAAAGACCACTCTGCTCCTAGGCCTTTGCAAGGCTTGCTCAGCCCTTTTTAGGTTTCCTATCAAATATACTCAGAGATCTCTGATCACCTGAYACCCTTCTACTCATGATTCATGTGTTTGTCTTCATGGCACTTGGCACTACCTAAAATGACCTTTTTCATTCATTTATTTGTTGTTTGTCATTTCCTCCAGAGTGTAGTTTATGTTGAGTGCAATACTGTGTAACTCCCAGGAATGTAAAGGTAGTCAAATTACTTGCTGAATGAATCCTCCATTGGAAAGAGGAACTGTTACAAAGTAACATTCTACTCAAGGACCATGACTGAGGATTGAAATAAATCACTAGCAAAGGATGAACAAGGAACTAGGCAGTTAACTCATTATTAAGAATATTCATGGGGCTTGTGTTGTGACTCAGTGGTAGAGTGCTCACCTAGCATGCATGAGGCACTGGATTTGATCCTCAGCACCATATAAATGTAAAATAAAGATATTTTGTCCACCTAAAACTAAGAAATATTTAAAAAAAAAAAAAAAAAAAAAGAATATTGATTTTACTGGGCACAGTGGCACACTCCTGTAAATCCCACTCTGGAGGCTGAGGTGAGGAGGATCACAAGTTTGAGGTCAGCCTCAGCAAGTGAGACCCTGTCTCAAAATAAAATATAAAAAGGGCTGGGGATGGAGCTCACTGGTAGTGCCACTGGGTTCAATCCCTAGTACTGTAATAACAGAAAAGAAAAAAAAAAAGTATTCATTTTATGTTTAATGTTAGCCATTTTTTWAAATTTTTTATTATTTTTTTAATGTTAGCCATTTTGTTATAAAACTTTATTTTTTTCCTAAACAGAAAAGCATAGTAATATATATCTCTACTGTGTTGTTTATTTTAGCAGCGCTAGGGGATTGAATTCTGGGCCACACACTTTCTAGACAAGTGCTCCACCACTGAGCTACACTCCCAGCCCTAGTATCTATTAAATATACCTCTAGTAAGCAAAAACTATTTTATATATATATATGTGTGTGTGTATATATATATATATATATATATGTACAAATGTATACCTCTAGTAACATGCCTTACTAAATTAAATTTGATAATCAAAATACCACTATAAGGGTACTACAAAATTGTCAACATTCTTAAGTACTGAATCTGCAAACTTAAAAAGTTAAAAAAAATTACTTAAAAAGGGGGCTGGAGTTGTGGCTCAGCAATAGAACACTCGCTGAGCACAAGTGAAGCACTGGGTTCAATCCTCAGCACCACATAAAAATAAACAAATAAAAAATAGAGGTATGTGTCCATCTACAACAAAATAAATAAATAGTAATGTGAAAGAAATATAAATATTATGTGTCCTGTGAGTCCACATCACTCTAACAGTAAGCTGGCACACTCTTCATTTTATAGATTAGTGAAATTGCAGCTACCAAACTAAAATCTGGTTGCTTCYTCTTAATAAACAATATCATAGATAGGTTGGTTACATCCATCTGGCTTATTGAAAAAAAAYCTGAGAAGAAAATTTTCAAACGTTCTGAGGTGTGTTTTGAGTACATTCATCAGGACTGTGGTACCAATACCCACTTAATCCCTCTCTCATTACCTTTGGATATGTGATGGCAGGCCCTCTTTTCATCATTAATACATAATCTTCCAATGCCGGCCTCATCAGCATGAAACTCTTACCACAGGAACTCGTCAGGACCTGGCCTGGGAACTTCCCCACGATCTCGCTGTACGGAACTGACCCCCAGCTACTATTTAAGTGCCCGACATTGCTCAACCTAAATAATTTTCTATATTGTGTTTCTCTTTTCCCAGTCGTAGCTAAAATCAGCTCCCCGGCCCGAAAGGGTCCCTCTCTGGAAGTTGAGCAGGAAGAGGAGTCGTGAAGCTCTGTGGTCTCAAAAGTGGACTGAGGCACGGGGGTCAGCAGGAGATCCCCGGATTCCGAATATGCGGGACCAAATTGAGCCCGCTCTCCGCTAGAGCTTTGGTGATCTCGAGGGGGTGACTCGTCCCGCGGCGTCTCCAGTGACGAAAGACGTGTGTTCCCAGTGCCCGGGACGCKGAGAGGGAGAGGTGGAGACGAGTCTGCGTCGGGGGCTTTTCTTCGAGTCGCCTCTGGCTCTCTGTCTCCATCTCGCACTTCTCTAGGCGAGGACTCGCGACACAGTAACCGCGCTTCTTCCAAAGGCGGTCGGCCAAGGCCGCACAGGGTTGAATGGATCCCGAGCTCCAGAAGCCTACCGAGGCGCAGCAGCTCCAGCAAGCCCTGACTGCGACGAACAGCGCACAGCATGATTTCCCGTGCAGGCGCTGTCTCAGAGAAGTGACGTAGGGCCGGGCAAGGCCCCGCCCCTTGATGCCCGGCGCACTGGGGCTTTGCCATAGGACTCCGCAGCAGCGCGGGAAGGGTCGCGGTACTGTGCCTGCCTCCAGAGAGGCGCTAGTGGGCGGGGCGTTAGTGGGCGGGGCGTTAGTGAGCGGGGCGTTAGTGGGCGGGGCGTTAGTGGGCGGGGCGTGAGGTGTTGCCTCGGGGGCCTGGCGGAAGAACTGCTAGTGTAACGTGTCTACTTGCGCAAGGGAACGGTTTTCCTCTACCGAAAGTGAGCACGGTAAAGAGTTTACCGCTGGTCAATCTCCGCCTGGCCCGTTCGGTGACAGAAGGGTTAAAAAAGACAAAACCAGTTGAAGTGCTTTGTAAGGCTTTCTTCCCAGAGTTAGCTTGCTAGTAATCGTGACCACAAACGTCACTCGGGATATGATTGTTAGACGTCCTGGAACGCGCCACCTGCTGACCGGTGCTCCTTTCCTAGCTGCCTACGACTGCGCCCCCACTCCCACCCCCAAGTCCGCTCTCGAGCCCTTTTGACAGGTTTGTGACCTCCTACTTGTTCTCACTCGCAGGCCCAGAGAGTCTGTTAAAGTGATAGTATTCACTATGCGCTTATTAAACTGTGTTTTAAATAATTAAAATATCTAGACTTTAGCCTCCCCAAAACTAAATAAGCTTTTTGAAACAGGAAAARAGATCTTTGGAGTCCAAAGTTAACCTTAAATAGCACTAGTCTGTCTGCTTAGTAGTAGTTCACATGGCAAAAGTTTATTGAGGGCCTGGCTATACCAGGCATGTTTAGAGTACTGATTAAAATTTAAAACTCGTCTAAAAATTATTCTCATTTTCTGCAGAAGAAAACTGGCCAAGGAGGATGAAATGGTTCAGGAAAGATTCCTAACAAAATAGCTGATAAGTGGAAAGGCAGGGTTTCCTATTCTAGGTCAATCAGATTCAGCAGCCTTTGCCCTTTGTACCTTGAACCCCTTTCCTAAAGACTGGTCGACAGTGCAATTGAACTGAAAAGTCCAAGCGTGTTCAAAGGGCTGTGGATTCAATGTGATTTGGTTTAAATTTGATAGAATGAATTTTTACATTATTTTCTGAGGCATAAATTTATAACTTTATAAACTATACTTTCTAGGACATCAGCCACCATAAACTCTATCATTAGAATTTTTCTCCTTTCTTTGGCTCCCCCTCTTGCCTCCTRTCCTGGAGATGGAGCCCAGGGGCACACACTGAGCCACACCACCAGACCTTTTTAATTTTTATTCTAAGATGGGGTCTAAACTGCCCAACCTGGGGCCTGGGGTTGTGGCTCAGGGTTAGAGCACTCACCTAACTCGTTTCAGGCACTGAGTTTGATCCTCAGCACCACATAAAAATGAATAAATATAATAAAGATATTGTGTCCAACTACAACTAAAAAAATTAAATAAACTGCTGAAGCTGGCCTCAAACTTATGATTCTACTGTTGCATCCACTCCAGTTGCTGGGGTTGCAGACATGTGCCACAGAACAGTACCCAAAAAATAAAGTTTGTTTTCTTAAAAACCATGAATGAGGGGCTGGGGATGTGGCTCAAGCGGTAGCGCACTCACCTGGTATGCGTGCAGCCGGTTCGATCCTCAGCACCACATACAAAAACAAGATGTTGTGTCTGCCGAAAACTAAAAAAAAAAAATGAATGATTATTAGATTTTATGAAATTCTTTACCCATACCTTTTGAGATTACCATGTAGTTTTWATCTTTTGTTCTATTAATAGAAGTATTCCATTTATTGGTTTTTGTTCTTTTTTTGGCACTGGGGATTGAACCCACTGGGGCCATATCACTGAGTGACACCCCCAGCCCTTTTTATTTTTTATTTTGAAACAGTGTCTCAATAAATTGCTGAGGGGGCTGGGGATGTGGCTCAAGCGGTAGCGCGCTTGCCTGGCATGYGTGCGGCCCGGGTTCGATCCTCAGCACCACATACAAACAAAGATGTTGTGTCCACCGAAAACTAAAAAATAA